TGCCCCTCGTCTACTTCCCCTCTGACCACCGTCTCCTGCCAACTCTAGTCCCTCTGAACACCAAAGCCCATCGACTATGGTCCCTCCGACCACTATGGCTCGACGACTACAGTCCCTTCGACCATCATTGCTCGCCCATAATAGTCCCTTCGACTCCATCGTCTGTCGACTACGATCCCTCTAACCACCATCACTAGTTGACTACCATCCCTCCGACCATTCTTTCTTGTCGAATGATGTCCCTCAGACCTCAATAGCCCATAGACTGTGGCCCCTCCGACTACCATTTCCCATCGTCTACAATTCCTCTGACCATTGCTTCCTTTGGACTACAGTTCCTCTGAGCACCACCACCCTCTGATAATGGTCCCTTTGACCATCTTCACCCGCCAATTTTGGTTCCTCCGACCTTCATCACCCCCCCCCCCCCACCCCCCCCCCCAACTATGGTCCTTCCAACCTCTTTCACCAATTTACTATGGTCCCTCCGACCTTTGTTGCCCACCGATTATGATCCCTCTGACCTATGTCGCCTGCCGACAAAGTCTTGTCCCTCCCACTTCAGTTGCCCACCAACTACAATACCTCCAACCTCTGTCACCTGCCGACTACTATCTCTCCTATCATCATTATATGCCACTTATAGTCACTCTGAGCTCCATCGCTAACAAACTTTGGTCCCTCCGACCACAGTCGCCAGCCGTGCCGATTACAGTCCCTCTGACCTACGTCGTTAGCCGACTACAGTCACTTAGACCATGCCTCACCATCACCATCAAACATCCATCCAATAGCCACCGGTGGGTGTTCGTCAGACCAACGATGCCCGCCAAATATAGTCCCTTTGAATAATGTCGCACGCCAACTATGACCCATCGACCTTCGTTACTTGTCGATTATAGTCCTCCAAGCCACAATCACCCATAGACTACTTTTTTCCTGCGTCACTGACCTCTGTTGCCATTTGACTATGATCCCCCTTACCTATATCACTAGCAAAATATGCTCCACCAACCTCTATCGTCTATCGATTACGATCCCACGAATATCCATCGTCCGCAATTTATGGCCCCCCAAACATTTGTCGCGTGTGACTAATGTTCCTCTAACTACTATCGCTTGTCGACTACGATCCATCGCCCACTGACTATAGTCCCTCCAATCTCTATTTCCTGTTGACTATTATCCCTTCGACTACTATATCCCACCAAGTACGATCCCTCTAATCTCCATCGTCTGTCTATTACAATCCCTCTGACCACCATCCTTAGCTGACTACGGTCCCTCTGACCATCCTTACCTACCGACTGCGGTCCCTCCGACCCATATCACCCATAGACTCTGGTCTCTTCAACTACCATTTCCCATCGTCTATGATTCCTCTTTCCTTCGTTGCCCTTCTACTATAGTCCCTCCGACCACTACCTCCCACCAACTACGATCCCCCTCACCATCGACACCCACCAACTCCAGTCCCTCCGACCTCCGTCGTACACCGACTATAGTCCCTCCATCCTTTGTAGACAATCAACTACGGTCCCTCTAACCTCCGTCGCCCACCAACTACTGTCCCTCTGACCTCTGTTGCCCACGAACTACAATTTCTCTTACCTCTATCGCCTGCCAATAGAGGTCATATCCCTCCGACCTCTGTTGCTCGTCAACTATGGTCCCTTCTAACTCTATTGCCCGGTGACTACAGTCTCTCTGATCATTGCCAGATGTCAATTGTAGTCACTCTGAGCTCCATCGATTGCCTATTATTGTCTATCTGACCTCCGTCGCAGCCTGACTATGGTCCCTCCAACCACTACTTGACCATCAACATCGAACATTCATCTGATAGCTACTACTGGGTGTTCATCCGACCAACGGCTCTCACTGATTGCAGTCTCTTCGACTACCAACGGGACTACGACCTATTCAACCTTTGTTACCAATCGACTGTAACTACGGTCCCTTTGCCCATTGTCGCATGTTGACTACAGTCCATCCGACCTTCATCGCCCGCCGACTACGATCCATATGACCATCGTCACCAGCTAACCACGATAAATCTAACCTCTGTTGCCTGTCGACTATGGGCCCTCCAATCATTGTCACCAAACTATAGTCCTTCTAACGTTAATCACCCGACGATGGTTCCTCCGATGTCCATCGTCCGACTATAATACTACCAATCAAACAAACTGGTCAATATTCTCTTGAGAATAACTCTCATATCATGGGATTCTTACCATCATAGTTATGTAATGTGATATGTATTTTCTACATTGAGCCAACGTCTTCGTGTGAGGAAGGGCATCATTTGTAATAAACAAAAAACACGTACGAGTGGATTAATTTCATTTGGGCAAGCCCCCGTGGTTTTTTCTTCCTTATCATGTTTTTCCACTAAAAAATTTTGGTGTCTTTTATGACTCATGCACATCTCTCTCTTTATCTATATGTGTCCTGAAAGTTCGTTCTAAGATAGGACGCTAAGTTCTTTATCTCCCTATCGCCACAAATATTTGAGAATGTAACAATAAAAAAAATTTAATTTATATTGTTCACTTTTGTTAAATTGCAATGATCGTGGAATGGACAATTATGTAAATTTGGTAATTCAAAAAAATTAGATTATTATTTTAATAAAAACATAAATTTTAAATGACTCGAGTTGCTCCTCAGTAAGTGCAGCAGCAATGGTAAAGCCACAATTAATAATATTGGATAATTCAATTTTTTCTAGAGAATTATAGCATAAATAATAACAATACTTATAAGATCACGTTGTAGATTGAGGATGGCCTATTAGATTGAGGTTTTTCGTTTTTTATTTCTTTCTATTGCAGATATTTAGTTTAAAAAAAATTTGTACTTTAAAGCTACATTAGAAAGCAGTAAAAAAACTGTCTCAAATGAAATCTATGGATTTTCGTTTGGGACGGCCATCTTGCTGCTTCTTAAAGTAATTTTCTAATATAAAAATTAAAACTGTAAACTAAAAATTTATTTTAAGAAGCAAGCCTACGTGTTGTAGATTGTTGAAGCTTAGTTCCTAAAGATCTCCAAATATTTTATAATATTATACATGGATTAAAAAATTGTGAATAAGACTTAGGCTTTGTTTGGGACGACTTTCTTATTACTTCTTGAAGCAGCTTTTTAGTATACATTTTTAAATTTTTGTACTGAAAAGCTATTTTAAGAAGCAAAAAGAAAGCTGTCCAAAACAGATCAGCGTCCAAAAAAACTTTAAGAAACAGTAAGAAAGTCGTCCCATGAGAGCATTTTTATTGATTTCTAAATAACTTTTTAGAGTTTAAATAGTAAATGTCCCTTGTATGCTTATTTAAAATAGAATTTTAATAGAATCTAAAATATTTTATTTTATCTATAAAAGTTATACTATACTCTTTTAAATGAATAACATTAAATAATTAAAATCTTTCACTTGCTTGAAAAATTATAATGGAGTTTAATGGCTGATCCCTCCATTGATACTTCGGTGAGTATTAAGTTACCCTTTGTATGCTTATTTCTCTCTCTTCTCTTCACTTTTGATTTATATCATAACATGTAACATATCCTTACAACACCAAACTCTAAAAGATCACCAATATTTGCGCTCCAATGGATCGCCAAAAAATACGTTAATGGCATGCGGGTGAACAGTCTGATCCCAATATTGGTGTCGGACTGTTCCCCTATGCCAAAAAATCGCTCTATTTTTTAGCTTCACTGGAAAGGCGCGAAACAAGATATGTTTTTAGTGCTGGAAAGAAGAGAAATATAGTTCCATAAGAGATAAATTGCATCATTTTGAAGTTTTCCGTCATTTTAGAATCAAAAATGGGATTTTCGGTTAAAGATGCCCTTAAAACTCTAAACCCTAGCATGCCATTATCATATATTTTCTTAGCTCATTAATCCTGAAAGTTTCCTTCCTACAATCAAGTCCAAAAAACCTTAATATACTAGGTTTCTTTTGGGGCATCTTCTTTATTGCTTCTTAAAGCAGTTTTATAGTTCAAAATTTTTAATTTTTGTACTAAAAAAATTATTTTAAGAAACAGTTAGAAAGTGTCCCAAATGAAACCACTCAACTTATGATGAAACTTTGAATCAAAAAATATTTGCTAATTTATGATTGTATTATGTTATATATTTGAATATACATTATTGTAAATTTATTGGAATTAAATATAATTTATTTTTGGCAATTAGTTCATATTACAAGAAAATTATGATTACTTTTTATTATATAAGAAATACATCCACAATCGAGTTATAGATCATATTTGTTTAGTATTCTAATCATTTTGTTATAAAGAAATGATTATGGTTACGTACAAAATATTTCATTTTATTAGAAGATTTTCTTTTCTAAAATTTTTAATGCAACATATTTACCTCTAATAGATATTTATTAGTTCTTTTTTTTTAAAACTGTGCAAATAAGTGGCTAAGAATCATTTTAAGAAAAGCCTCTTTCATATTTTTTATTTATGAGCATAAATAGATAAACTCCAATATATTATTTATATATTACATTATATATATTATCTCAAATACATCACTTAAGAGGAGAAATTTAGTTAAGATATTTTAATAAAAATGTATTAATAATTAATTAATATTTTATATTATTCATTTTTATATCAAGTGTTATCCCTGGTCAATATAATTGAATTATTAGATAAATATAAATAAATTATTAGATAAATATATTTAAAGAATTTAGCTATTAAAAAAATTATGAATATCCAATAACTTAATTATAATTATATAATTATTTAAGTATATTAATTATATTAAAAATAATATGTGAAATTAAGAATATATATATATATAATCACTCCCCCTTGCCTAACCATCCGTCAGACCGTCGGTCGCAAGCACTTTCCGGTTTCTGCTGAACCGCCATTTCCTGTCAGATCTAATTATGCCACCGCGACAAATCCAGACCGTCCGCTCCGATCCCCTCTCTCTTTAAAACCCCAAGTCCCTCAGCCCCCATTTCGTCCTTGTACCGCTCTCCTCGTTCGCTAGATCTCGGCCCCGTTCGATCTCGGGAGACCTAAATTTCCCTAACTTCTCTTTCATCGCCATGGCTCTGCTCGTGGAGAAGACTACTTCCGGTCGCGAGTACAAGGTGAAAGACCTGTCCCAGGCCGACTTCGGACGGCTCGAGATCGAGCTCGCGGAGGTCGAGATGCCAGGCCTTATGGCATGCCGCGCCGAGTTCGGCCCCTCCCAGCCCTTCAAAGGGGCGCGTATCTCTGGATCTCTCCACATGACCATCCAGACTGCCGTCCTTATTGAAACCCTAACTGCCCTCGGTGCCGAGGTACGCTGGTGCTCCTGCAACATTTTCTCCACGCAGGACCACGCTGCTGCCGCAATCGCTCGAGATTCCGCCGCCGTGTTCGCCTGGAAGGGCGAGAATCTCCAGGAGTACTGGTGGTGCACGGAGCGCTGCCTCGACTGGGGCGCTGGTGGAGGCCCCGATCTCATTGTCGACGACGGAGGTGATGCGACGCTGCTTATCCATGAGGGGGTTAAGGCCGAGGAAGATTACGAGAAGACTGGGAAAGTCCCGGATCCGGCTTCGACGGACAACGTGGAATTCCAGATCGTGCTTGGGCTCATCAGGGATAGCTTAAGTGTGGATCCGAAGAAGTATCGGAAGATGAAGGAGAGGCTCGTTGGTGTTTCTGAGGAGACGACTACTGGAGTGAAGAGGTTGTACCAGATGCAGATCAGTGGGACGCTGCTTTTCCCCGCCATCAACGTCAATGACTCCGTTACCAAGAGCAAGGTGAGATTTATTAATTTTTCTCTTTGCTTCCAACCTATTTTTAACATTTTATCTCGTTCTCGATCTGGATCTGGATCTAGATCTAGATCTCTGTTTCGTCATTTATTGCCTTTTATACATTATCTATTGTTCTCGCTTTGCTGGCATGCTGCTGAGATGGTTATGATTCTTTTGTCCTTGATTAATAGCTTCTAAAAGCTTATGATTGATATAGATCTGAAATCAAGTTATTCTTTGTGGATCGAAATTAGTAGATTTAGCATTTATTTAGCTGTGCAAATATTGTTTATTTTATTTTGATTCGGTCTATTTAGGCAGTTCAGACTGAATTATATTTCGGGCTCATGGATTTCTGTGTCCTGAAACCTTTTACAGGACGTGTAGTCATGGTTTGACCTCTGATCTTATTCTAATGAATTGATACATAAATATTAAGAAGGATCACATTGAGGAGAGATTATTAGGCGTGGAATTCGGACATATTTTTATTGTGCTTCCTTTCCAACAAAAAGATCATGAACTGACGGAAATTTAAAAAAGATTTAAGTCTCGCGACTTGTTATCATATAGGCCTGTTTAGCAATCTAGGAATTTATTCTTTAAAGCTTTTATTTATTTTGTTTTATTTTTCACATGTATTACGGCAATTTTAAAAATTAAAGTAATTATGAAAAAAAAATTTATGTTCGTTGTATATGAATCCATCAAATATTAATAATGCCAATGAATTTAATTTTGTCAATAATAAAATATTAAATTAGAATTAAACTGATTAGTCGGAGCATCATATCATATAATTGTTCATTAATAAATTATAATTAAGATAATTACTTCAAGCATATAGTAAAATTTAGGATAACAATTTAATCTAATAAATTAAATTTGCCGTTTCTCTTCAAAACTTTATTAAATATATTTACTTGTCATACATAAATAGGTGAGAAGGATTTTTTTTTTCCCCAAATTTTGATAATTTTGATAATCTTGAAACAGTTTGATAACTTATATGGTTGCCGCCACTCTCTCCCTGACGGCCTAATGAGAGCCACCGACGTTATGATTGCCGGCAAGGTTGCGGTGGTCTGTGGCTACGGTGATGTAGGCAAGGGTTGTGCTGCTGCTCTCAAGACTGCCGGAGCTCGTGTTATTGTGACCGAGATTGATCCAATATGTGCTCTTCAGGCCCTCATGGAAGGCCTCCCTGTCCTGACTCTGGAAGACGTTGTGGCTGAGGCTGACATTTTTGTTACCACAACTGGTAACAAGGACATCATCATGGTCGACCACATGAGGAAGATGAAGAACAATGCCATTGTCTGCAACATCGGCCACTTCGACAACGAGATCGACATGCTCGGCCTCGAAACCTTCCCTGGCGTCAAACGCATCACCATTAAGCCGCAAACGGATCGCTGGGTCTTTCCGGACACCAACAGCGGCATCCTTGTGCTCGCGGAGGGCCGGCTCATGAACCTCGGCTGTGCCACCGGTCACCCCAGCTTTGTCATGTCGTGCTCCTTCACCAACCAGGTGATAGCTCAGCTGGAGCTGTGGAAGGAGAAGTCTTCAGGCAAGTATGAGAAGAAGGTGTATGTGTTGCCCAAGCACCTGGACGAGAAGGTTGCAGCGCTTCACCTGGGCAAGCTTGGTGCCAAACTCACTAAGCTTTCTCCTGCACAGGCTGATTACATCAACGTTCCAATTGAGGGTCCCTACAAGCCAGCTCATTACAGGTATTAGAGAGTTTCAGAGGAGGAAACTGAATCCAACAAAACAAGCAGACCAATGGATTCGGTAAGGCGATCAGTAGAGTTATCTCTATCAAAAGTATCCTTTATTCACTATTTAAACATTGTTTTGAATTTGAGAGAAGTAAGCGTGTTTTCTATTGAGGAATAATGAGGGTTGTTGGTTTGTGAGGTTGTGTATCGTCTCTGAGTATTTCTTAAACTAATGATTTATTTAAAATCAACACAAATTCTGCTATAGAATGCGGACAGATACTATATCAATTCCTTTGTTTCTAGGGTATAAAATTACAATCATTTTCCTGCCTTCATATTATCATGTGACGATTTCATTCACTTTGTTATCTTAAATCGCATTAATTAGTGATGTTTAGTGTTCATATTAGAATTTAGAATTTAAATCAATAAAATCAGGGAATGCAAATCTCTTAAATCTATATTAGTTTGTTAAACTATTGTAGAAAATATAATTTTTTTAAGACTTTTAGTACCTTTTCAATACAATTTTTATAAAAAATAGCATAAAATAATGACAAAACAGAAAATATGATTATGATCTAAAAAGTAAAGTAATAAGAAAATTGTTCCCAAAAAAATTAATGTTTCATTTAGGTTTACTTATTAAAATAGTTTTTTTATATAAAAAATACAACTTCAATAATTTTTTTTTGTACTAAAAAACTATTCCAAAGCAAGTTTAAGACTTCCTTTGAGACGAGTTTTTTAAGCCATCGACGTCATTTGAGACAGCTTAATTACTATTTTTTAAAATAATTTTTTAATACTAAAATTTCTAATTCAAAAAATTATTGTAAAAAAAAAATATTTTAAAAAACAGTAAAAAAAGTTGTAAAGGAAAACCTAATTCTCACTCCAAATAAAGTTTAAGTCCTGCTAAAAAATAATGAGAACACAATAATGGGATTTAGCTAGAGATTTAATACCCAAAAGAAAGAAAATAATTTTGCAAGATCTACCTTCAATTTTTTTTTAAATCCTATTCGCTTTAAAGAGTAAAAGTTTCACAACGCAGATAGCTATCAGAGCAATAAAAAGATAATTGAAAAGGGAAACTGTAACATTATAAGCAATCATAAGAACCTTATCCAACCTTACAGAGAAGAATCATCTCTTGTTTCAAGAAAGTGCCCTAAAAAGAAACAAGAATGAAATAGAAAGCCACGAGATGCTTCTTCCTTACTGATCTCTCTCCCCTTCGCTCTCTGAGTGCCTCTTATCTCTATCGCTAAGGGTAGTCTCCCCTGCAACCAGTGATCATGGAGCAGCCGCGGATATAAGGATTGGCCTTCCCCCCTGATCCTTCACGGCAGCTGTAGTAGGGTATGCAGGATTGGTTTTCCCCCCTGATCCTTCACGGCAGCTGTAGTAGGGTATGCCGGGGCGGTTGCAGGGAACGGAATCCCTCCTTAGAACCGCATAGCTTATGTACTTTTCCGGCAAAGTCGTCACCCACAGTGTTCTTCGGCGGATCTGTGTCTGTGAAGGGGATTTTGCTCTGTTTAGGAAGATGAGGAAGAGAAGCAGCAGCAGAAGCTTTAGAAGTTTATGGCAATGGTGAGCATGGTTTCTGCTGCAGAAGAGATTGGCCATTTCTTCTCTTCCAAAGGAAGCAAGCTCTCCCTCTCTCTCTCTCTCTCTCTCTCTCTCTATAGCTGTAAATATGGAGTTATTTGTGGATTTACCACTACTCTAGAGTTATCGGTAGCTTGTCTTCGAGACCAATAGGAAAGGGTGAACAACCCTCTGAGCTGCATTTAATGGCCTCGTATCAATTTAAAAAAAAAAGGGGTTTTACATACATACCACTTTATTTTATGCTATTTACATATCTAATACCTAAAATATTAATATTACATGACTATCATCCATAGAATAAATTTAGGTGGATGAAATGAAATATTAAAGTTTATAGGATTATATGAATGGTAGAAAATGAATTATAGAAGTGGTATATTTGATATTAGAGTTGTATATGAGTGGTATGCATGTAATATTAATGTTTTAGGTGTTAGATATGTAAATAGCATGAAATAAAATGGTATGTATGTAAATTTCCCAAAAAAAAAAGGTCTGACATGAATGATAATCTTTATATATATATATATATAGTAATCTTTAAAAAGTGATTTTTTTTTTAATAAAACTGATATAGTGATATATAATACCGATTTATTGCTTCCATGATCTTCTAGTTTACATGGGATTAATGTTATACATATATGTTGCCTCATAAGATATTCGTGGTGGTAGATAAAGATATAGTTTAGCATCTTAATTTTATATGAAGACCCAATAAATAGATAGATAAAAGATAGGATGTAGCATTCATATGAGACACCAAAATTTTTATGTGGAAACCATTGAAAAAGGAAAAAAATCATAAGGTCTTGCCCAATTTAAATGAATCAACTAGTACTTGCATTTGATTACAAATGAGGCTCTTCCTTGGGGGAGAATGCCTTGGCTCTATGTAGCAAATATACATCATATAGAGTGTGTTACATGGTGGGAGTTAAAGGAATCAGCGTTGATATGTTTGTTTGGTCGGCATGACCATATTTGATGAGCGATAAGGGTTGGAAGGACTAGTCGGGTGACGGTGGTCAGAAGGATCATAGTCGAGCAATGGATGTTGGAAAGACCGTAGTTGATAGGGGATGTAGGTCGGAAAGATCATAGTTGGGTGACGGCGGTTGTGGAGACCGTAGTCTAAAGATGGTAATCAAAGAGACCATAGTCAGCAGGCGACGGAGGTCAAAGAGACCGTAGTCGATAGGAGAAGGAGGTTGGAAAGGCCATAGTCGGGCGAAGGGGGGTCAAAAGGACCATAGTCATGCGACAGAGTCGGAAAGACCATATTCTACGGACGACGGTGGTTAGAAAGATCGTAGTCGTTAACAGTGATTGGGAGGAAATCCAACGACAATCGGTGGTCTGGTGTAAGTCTGACGAGAATTAGTGATCAGGCAAAACTCTGGTGATGGTCGGTAATCAGGCGTAAATTCGACATCACTTGGTGGCCAGGAAAAAGTCTAATGACAATCGGTGGCCAGGAAAAAAGTCTAATGACAATTGGTGGCTGGGCAGAAGTCCAATGAAAACCCAGTTGGTGGACGGACGGTGGTCAAAAAGGAGCTTGGTGACAAGAGATATCTTAGATATATCTTCATCTCCTCCTTCCTTCCCCCTTTTTCCTCTCTTACGTGCTTCCTCCCACCTTCAATGAGAAAGATAGGTTTATTTATAGTTTTTTTAGAGTGGCATGACCAATAAATGAGAAGAAAATTAGGACAAGTTGGGAGTGTTCGGAATGGACGGCCGATATCGACTCCCTTGATCGTTGTCTGTTTATTAAGTATTTGAGTATATAAATGATATCAAAATTCGACAATTTTGGTTTCGTTGAATTCATCTCGTTGAGTCGATTGATTCAACTATAATCACGTCACATTTGGAAATTATTTGGTCATCCAATTTATGGTTTTGAATATTCTAAATGTGCTTCATGTCTTCAATTGAGACCCATTCGGGCTCAGATTGGATCGAATTTGGTGTCGTTGGGTTTGTCTTTTCGAGACGTTCAGTTCGACTATAAATTTGCTAAAATCGAAGTTCGTATGGTCCTGGATTTAAGTTCGAAAGTTTCCAACTCAATTTTACCTCGAGATTTGTGCCCGATCATGATTACGGCCTGGACGATCTCAATATCGTCCCGGATGATCCTGGGAGGAAAATCCAAGTCAGAGAGGAACAGTAAGGCAACGAGGTGTCACAAGAATGCCTTGGCTCTATGTAGCAAATATAAATCATATAGAGTGTGTTACATGGTGGGAGTTAGAGGAATCAGCGTTGATATGTTCGTTTGGTCGGCATGACCATAGTTGATGAGTGATAAGGGTCGGAAGGACTGTAGTAGGGTGACAGTGGTCAGAAGGATCACAGTCGGACAATGGAGGTTAGAAAGACCGTAGTTGATGGGGGGCGTAGGTCGGAAAGATTGCAGTCTGGTGACGGCGGTTATGGAGACCACAGTCTGAAGATTGTAATCAAAGAGACCATAGTCAGCGGGTGACAGAGGTCAGAGAGACCGTAGTCGGTAGAAGATGGAGGAAGTTTGTATTTATCATTGGTTAGCTCTAGCTCCCTCCTCATCATTCATCATGATGGAAGTTTGTATTTATCATCACTGGTGTGAGTGTGGATATCCTTATAATGAGTGTTGAAGTCAACCCCATCGTCTCAATTCTTCTCTAACAAGTTTATCAAGTCTAATGATCCTTCACAGTTACACACACACACACACACTCTCTCTCTCTCTCTCTCTCTCTCTCTCTCTCTCTCTCTCTCTCTGGGGGGTGTAATAACCCAGAAATGTGAAATAAATTTACTTGAAAAATATGAAAATTCTAAAGTATAACGCTTTAGTATTAATCTGGTGAGTGCTGCGGTGCTAGGCTACAAACATTATATATATACCTATCTCACCCCATCGTCTCTCTCACTTAGTTGCTTGGCCATGAGGAAATTGAAGGAGAAGAATAAAAAAGAGCGTGAAAGGTCTTTGGATCGTATTTGCTCGTCATTCGAGTTATGAATTTTGTTTTATTCATTGTAAGCGACTAATCTCTTACTTATATTTTTTGATGGTTTGATTTCTACAATTTTTATCTCTGTTAAATCAACCCATAATATATTATCTTCTTATTTCATAAGCTTTCACCGCGCAAGTTAGAATATGTTATAGATTTGATAATTCTAAATCATTTGAGATGATTTTTTTTTTCCTTTTTACTGGTTAAATATGTATTTATGCATTTCTATGTTAAATAAATGGAAAAAGGGATGACTATGCTTTGATATTGTAATGCAATAAATACTAAAATGATTAATATAACTGATATGGACTTAAATGTTATATCTATACTAGTAAAATAAAGTACTGAATGATATCAGATACATGATATGATAACGTCATGTGAAACCCTACTGATCCACGTGATTCACTGACTGAGAGTCATAAGATGCTGAAGATTGATTAGGAATTATAAGGAGTCATGGCGGCTGGTTGGGAGTCATAAGTACATGAGCAATACTCTTAAGATACTCTCATTGAATATCTGATTACTGATACTATTATTGATTATTGAGTCCTTATATGATTACGTACTTATATTGGTACTGTAATAGATATTGTACTGACATTGTGCATATTGTTTCTCTTTTTATTGTATATATTTTAGTGTAAGATTTTGATTACTTGCTAGATTATGTGCTCATTACGTGGTTTTACATATTTTCTGAAAATGATAAGGATCATATGATATGAGGCTCCGAACATCATGCATAATTTTTTCTGTTGTTTATAAAAAAATGGGTAAGATCTAGTTAAATGACTAAAATGAAATACATATGTATTTCTTCTAATATAGATTCCAATGCGTGACGGGTGGGGGAGTTCCTTTAAACTCTCCATAATGCATCTTGAATTATATTAGTAATTTTCTTCTCCATCCCCATCAAGTCACAATGGGTAGTGAATTTTTAGTTCTCCATATTCATTGATGACTCCTGACTTTGTTTCTCTTCGCATAGTGCTTATCTTTTGATCACTAGCATGAATCCACACTCATTGTACCTTAGAGGATGTTGGATCCAAATTATTTCGTTGGCAACACTGAAACCTACTAATAGGTCTTAGCATGTTAAAGTTATAGAATTGTGTGGGGAAATGAATAAGTATAAAGAGTAAGTGGAAAGCTCTAATATCTCAATGAATAGTACAAACATCATGAAGTTCAAAATATACTTATTCACCTTTTATTTATATGATTAAGAGGGATTATATATATAATAAAAAATAATACTTTATATGTCAAATGCAAATTGACACAAACATGTGGACTAAGCTAGGTGGAGCACACGTTGCCCTCAATGATTAGGAATGCTTATTAACATTTGTATGTATACCTTAATTCAATTCACATGAGATGTTTTGAATTTTCAAATCATATGAAAATAATAAAAATTTGAAGGTCACTTATAGTCCTTATTAACGACATATGATGTTTTAGATTCTATATTTCTTTGCAAAAAGTCTTTTGATAGTGTCTCCTTTGCCTCGAAATAGGACAATCCCAATCATCTTTAGATGCATCTATGACATCCATACTAAGGATGTGTTATTTCTCCCTAAAACAATCATCTCAATCCCCATCAATTGCATCAACAACCTTCTTATACTTCCTTGCCCATGCCTTCAAGATGCAGCATCTCTGCCTCTTGGAGAAGAACCATTCCAATAACCCACAATTGCATCAACAATCATCATTCACTAATTCATACAATGCCTTTAGGTCATGTAACTTTCACCTCTAAGAGGATTGTCCTAATATATGACTCTATTATGTCATCATCACCAAAGATTCTCATATCAACCTACTTTCACATATAGTTTGTAAACACCCTCTCCAAATTTGAGGAAGTGCAACATCATATAATTCATATTTACTACTAGTAAAAATTGTTTTTTTTTTAATATCTTACGTGTCCAAAAAAAAAAGTCATACATGTAATTCTTTTATTCAATTATGCTAAAGTTATTGTATTTTTTTTGGATGTTAGGGGATTCGAGTGCGGGTTGAGAGGGGAGGAAGAGCTTTTGTGGACCATATGGCTGTTTAGCAAAAAAAATTTCTTTGCTAGCTCGGCCATTTCTAGTACACAACAATGATATACGTGTGATGATATTAGAAAAAAAAAATAGAAATGTTTTATTAAAGAAATAATAAAAAATTGTTAATGAAAAAATACTTTTAAAAAATAGAGCGCATTGAAGAGTAAAATATTCAAAGCTTATCAATTGTCATGACATGTTACTTGGAAGTTTCGATTATCAACTAAATTGTCTTGAATTTGAAGCTTGAGTATGTAATGTGTGTATAAATTTATATAAATTTTCTCTAAAATCTCCCTCACCCTTAAATTTTTTTTTTTAATGCACAAATAAAATTAGAAATAAGAAAGAACAATGCAAATAATTAAAGACGAAAAAGGGTCAAATAAAGTAAACTTGGACAAAAGTTAGACAAAAAGATCTATAAAATAGGTCAAATTATTAGGTGCGGACACCGGACGGCTGAGAACCGTCTGATTTTCTCTCCATCTACAATAGCATTGGTAAAACTCAGCTGCTACAGTTGACGAGAAAGGAAGATTCATAAATCTGAACACACAATGAGCTGACGCTAATGATTACGATGTTGTGTTTTATACTCCGTAATTCTTTGGCTTCGACCATAGCCATTAGTGTAATAATACCCAACCTATTTTTTGGACATTTAGGTCATTTAAGGCAAACTCATACACACAACGCATACACATAAACTCGAATCCTAGACCTCTTAGTTAAAAGCCTTAGCCCTCAACAAACAGGCCAAGGAGAGCTGTGTGCCAACCTGTTGGACTACACTCAAATTCCTTCCAAACACTACGCGCCTGACTAAAAAACTTTGCTTGCAGCACATCATTCTTTTCACTAAAAACAAATTTATATATATATAAATTTACATTATACGAGAAAAGCTACCAAAAAGATCATATAGCATTATCTGCATGGTTAAAGCCATAAAAGTACCAGCTAAAAAATCATTTAAAGAGTGAGCTGTTCCATATCTTTTATGTTCCTCTGGTTTTTCTCTTGCACAAGCATCATCTCTTCTTGTTCTTCTTCATCCTCCTTCAAGCTGGAGCTTGCTTCTTCTGTGTCTGAGGACCCCGGTCTTTCTGTCAGGAATTGCTCCCAGAACTTATCATTCACCCTTCCAGTAGTTGTAATAGGCAATGGTGTGTTATTGCTTGCCAGAGCAACCTCTATTTTACTTCCTTCAATCTTATTAACTTCATCCTCCTTTCCCCTGCGATCAACAACATTAGCCATATCCAGGTCTATTGTGCTTGGAATTCTGTTCAACTGATCGATTCTATCAGTTTGCATGGAGGATGAAGCAAGAGTAAGATCCAAGTGGCATGAAAGAAGCCCGTCATTACCATCTTCAAGATCGGTCATCAACAATGAGATCTTTCTTGGGCAGAAAGAAGCTCCAGTGTCGGAAAGCTCGAGTGTCTCAGGGACTAATGGAAGGCATTCAATCCTGAGAAGGTCTCCTTCATTTGTGTCGCTCCCATGAAGACTCTGGTAATCTTCGTTCCAGCTCTGCGAGCAGGGGGGAACCAGATTATTATCTGAAATGGCTGTGCAAAGCCCTAGCTTCAATTTATCACACAACTCCTGGTCGGGTAAATCCCCTACCTCTCCCACAAGCCTCAAGTTACCCGTGGAATTAACAGAATTCTCACAGAAGCTGTTCTCTGAAATCTCAGGACAACAATTGGCCTCTGGAAGCCTCCTTTTTCTTTGGAGTGTGGAAAAATCCTGAGCGCCTGCCATTTTTATGATTTTCTCCACAAATTTAGGGTTCTGAGCGGCTCTTTGGAGAAATGATACCATCTTTTCCTGCCGCTGCTCCATATCCCGCATCCTCTGCTCGAGATATTCGAGCTGAATGATCGCGTTTGAATGCTGCTGCTTAAAGCGCCAAGAATCAGCCTGGAGCCTGGCTTTATCCTTCTGAAGATTCTCTATCTCTTCCTCGAGCGCGGCTCGCTCGGCGTCCGCCGGCGGTTGGCTGTGGCTGTGGATTGGCTTCCGGCGGTGGATGTTCTTGAGCAGGTGTTTCTGACCCTTAACGAAATCTTCGTTTGCGAACTCCCACCGTTCTGGATCGATTTTGTGGAAGCCCTAAAAAGCATAAAATGGTGACAAACGACTCTACAGGACACGATTTTACGGAAAATAACGGAGAAGAAAGTATGCATGGGGCATGGCTTCATACATAGGTGTTGAGCTGCCGGATGAAGCTGGAGAAATTGCTGTGTTTGAAGTAGGTGGGAAGGAGGCGGGAGGAGAACTCGGGGGGATTCCAGACGACGAAGCTTGAATTTGTGCTGCTCCACGAGACGATTTCGTTGGTGGAAGAATCGTCGATCATGTCGTAGGTCTTTAGAAGAAAGGGTGCAGGTCCACCGGCCGAGGAACCGGCGGCGTCGGAGGAGAAGGTAGCGGAGGCGTCGGAGAGAGGCAGCGCTTGTTCCATTGTGACCTTGAGGAGGAAGAAATGATGGGAGTAGCGGCGGAGAGAAGATAGTTTTTGGCACTTCGGTAGGTGGAAAGAGGATGGAGCAATCGATTAGTAGCAGTCAACCAACGGCAGCTTATCGGGTCGGGTATGCTTTTATTCTTGGGGATTTAGATATATTTATATATTTACAAATTAAAATTCAAAATTTTTATTTTAATATCATTAATATTCTTTTACCTTTAATAAAAAATATATTTTTTCATACTTAATTTTTAATATCATTTCATAACTAAAATATTATGTAAATAAATCTAAGGCATATATTTAAATTACTCTGTTTTTTAGAGTGATGAAAACTAATGCCAATATTTCTATCCTTCAAATTTTTAGGTAAATAATGATTTCATAATATAACTTTAATTCATATTTTTAAAAAAATTACATACAAAACATAAAATAATTATTTATTTATAAAACTAATACCCTTCTTATTATTTAATATTAGGAAGATATTAAACTGGTTTTTTTTTCATTATTTCTTAAGAAATTTCTATGTCTAGGACATCAAAGCGAGGTCTATATTGATGTCTACAAAATGATTATGGCTTAAATTTCTTAGCTAATCAAGATTTGGCCACCTCAATTCAACAAGCAAGTTGTGAGTTCTTACTATCCCTTTAGGTCAAATGTAGCTCTCTCAATCCAGTGTTGAAATTTTATGCTTAACTCCTAAGCACAAAATTAGTATGGGAATCATATCTTAAGGTTAGGTGTGGTAGGAGCGAGATCAATGGACAAAGGGAGATTAAAAAATGTTCAACCCACCTCTTAAGATTTAAGGCTTACAAAAATCGAGGGTAGCACATTAGCTTAGCTAAGTATATGTGGGAACTCTCTTATAAGAGTTGGCTTATTTATTTCATTTCAAAAATTCTATTATCGAGAAGGTTTTATTTCTAAATTTCTTATATATTGGTGGGTCTCTTCTTTGTATCTCAAGCCACATCATATGTGATCACTCAACTCTCAATTATTCTTCTTGTCCACAAAGGATAAAGACTCTCAATTATGCTTTAAATGTCTCAAATAGTTGGTTATTACAATCTTCTCACCCATGCTAAAGGAATCTCTTTGGAGAGCAACACATGATTTTTCTATTTATTATAATTTCAAAATTACTAATTTCACATGCATACAAAAAAAGCATAAATAAACAAATTCTAAAAGAGATAAAGAAGAAAAAGGATATATTATATACATTACAAAATATGTACATCATAAAATGTTGATTTTATTTCACATTATTATTAGTACAATATTGTAAAATTTTCAAATCAACTTTTTTGCATGTATTACATTTTATTTTATAAGAGCATATCTTAATATATCATATTAATCCTGTAATTATTGAACATGGAAGGAATGTTAGCTCTCTGAAATTCTCAACACTTTAGTCAACTTGCACATTTAATTTAGTAGGGAACACATGTCTTTATCATATTCCACCTATTATTTTCCTCGAGTAATAGTGATGAATAGGCCCTATCGGAGGATTTCATCTCTATAAATGCCAAGTCACAAGCTCATCAAGAAGATAATAAATTCAAATGTTCTACCCTTTCTCTATATAGCCTTATGAATATGTCATACCATACAACTCTTCCATTTTTATAGGCTAGCTCCATAATGAGCATAGGTCATATGATTAAACCATTATAAATCATCTATATTATTTATTTTGTAACTTTTTTCTTGTCTCCTTAAGCTATAATGAAGTTGTTGAATTTTCTAACTTTCTAGAAGGTTATCTATCACAGGATTACTTCGGCACAACAACACTTAACATTGGAGTTTTCTAATGAAATCACAACCATTATTCCAAAAAGGCACATCGATGTTTAATAGTTGTTGCGGGCTGAGAAATTCATAGTGCCAAAGTGAAAAAAATTTTATGTCTTAGCAATGCGAGAAAATTCACAACACAAACATATACGAGAAATGACAGAGAAGCACGATAATTTTACATGAAAAATCTTGAAAAAAGAAAAAAAATCACGAGGTATTGCTCAATTAAAATGATTCCAATAACATTTAAACAAGTTATAAAAGTCAACCCATCCTTTAGCTGTAAGATAGTGAGAATACAATGTATTGAAAAAAAGGACAAAAATTTTGGATGGATACACCTTGGTCTTGATTGAATGAAAAATACTAAAAATATGGCAAAAATAGTCGAGAGAATATTTGATAGAGGTTCAGTGATGATTAGGGATCCAATGATAATCAGCAGAAGGATGGAAGTTTGGAGACATTCAATCGTTGGGAAGAGATCCGACGGCAACCAAAGAATTGACAAAAGTTTGACGACGGTTGGAAGTCGAGAGGGATCGGACGATGGCCAACAAATGGGCAAAAGTTCGACGACGATCTAAAGTCGGGAGGAGATCCGATGATGGCCAACAAACGGGTGGAAGTTCGATGTCGATCAAAAATCAGTATCTTTCAGTCAAAAATCGGGAGGAGATCCAACGATATCCAATGAACAGGTAGAGTATGAAGATGGTAAAAAATCAGGTGGAGATTCAGTGGTGGCCAACAAACGGGCAAGAGTCTAGTGACGATAAAAAATTAGAAAGAGATCCGAAAATTGTCAACTAACATGTGGAAGTTTGAAGATGGTTGGTGGTCTAGAAGAGATTTGTCGTCTATTGGTAGCAAGCAAGCTCCAAAGTTTTCTCCTTTCTTTCCCTTCTCCTCATTTGAAGAATGGAGGTCTATTTATGATTTTTTTGGAGTAAAATGACTAGTAAATATGGATAAGATCAAGGAAAAATTTTGAGTGTTTCATCGGACGACCCATACTATTTCATTCGATCATAAAATATTTATTCAACATTTAAGTACCTTAATGATGTCAGCATTTAGCGATCTTGGGCTCATTGGATTTATCTCGTCGAGCCACTCTATTATACTATAAGCATGTCATATTCGGATATTATTTGGTCATCAGATTAATACTCTAAAGCTTTCAAGTAGGGTTTGGTCCATTGATTTGAGCTCATTTGGGCTCAGATTAGACTGAATTTTGTTTCATTGGGTTCATCTCCCTGAGATGATCAATTTGACTATACACATGTTGAAATCAAAGTTCAGATGATTTCAAATTTAATTTTTGAATAACTCATATTTTACATCGAGATCTGTGTTCGATCAAGATGATTTTTTGATGGCATATAAAGAGTTTAGCTTATTTTTACTTAAGGAGAGAGATGGAAGTGGTTGCTATGGCACCGATGGGGAGAGAGGAGGGCGAGAAGAAAGGGGATGGAGATTATATGGAGCGACTGGAATTGCAGTAGAAAGGGTCAGTATTATAGGTGATAATTAGGGGATTCAAATGATCATTAGCATAAATGATGGAGGATATTTCATGGGGGTTGGTAGGCCATACCATTGGGTGCACATGAATGATGGGGGAATTATGGTGGATGTGGAGGAGTAGAAGGGGAAGGTAGTGATGGAATGGTGTGCACATACAAGGGTTTTGATTCAAAGGGGCAATGGGGTGTTTTGTAACACAATGAGTGGAATTTGATGAAGGATGCCATGATGAATAGGGTTTCGATAGTGATGAGGATGGATCAAGCCGCCAACATTTCATTGGCAATAAAGTGAAGGGGTTTGGGGAGAGGTTGGCGGTGGCGAAGGATGGATTAGTGGTGGTTGCTGAGATGGAGTGATGTCTTAGAATGGTGATGAGGTAGGGGGGAATTGGGAAAGAGATATAAGGGGATCAGAGGAGTGGAAGGAGAAGGCTGACTAATCTGTCACTGAGGATGAATCGTCAACGAGGAATCATAGAGATTTCTTGAAAGATTTATTGTAAGAAGAGTTTAGTCTGACATTAATTAGAATAAAATTGGAGGACTTACATTTGACTGTGTATTTATATATTTAATATTTTATTTATTCATGTAATATTTTAATATTTAAATGATGTTAATATATATGTAAAATAAATATTTATATAAATAAATAAATATTAACGATATTTTTAATGTGATATAAAAATTTAGATGTATTAAATAAATACAAAAATTTTAATTTTTAGATACAAAAACATATAAAAAATAAATTATATTTATATAATTCTCCTAAGAAATTTTAGATTTTGGTTTTATTGATTAAAAATCATGTGAGGATTTTAGGATGGGCTAAAGCTTTAAGATTAGAGCACCACAATTTTTTTTTGTGTAGCACTAATCTTAAGATAAATTAAAAATCTTTTAAATTTCTCATGAACATAATTTATATTCGGATATTCTAACAAAATTTTTGGCACATCGAATGTTCGCACGCACGTGATCAGCTCCCATCTTGCCATGTGCACTATGTCCTCCATCACCACTATTGGTTCCACTCTTTCATTTCTCTAATGGCTACTTTTGTCATTCATGTATGGTTCATTCATATAAGGAGAATGGTCGAGTTCTCTGTCTATTGTCACCGGGCATTCCATGTCTTTCATATACTATTGTTCAATGCATATTAATGATTGTCATCGATATCGTTCAGCCATCTACCATCTTATAAGGATAATGAACGGATGTGCTTTGATTGGAAAGCATGCAATTGTAAGTTTATAGTTGAGATTTTATGGATTTTTTAATAAAATTAGAAAAAAAACACTTTAATTATTAATATTTTTTAATGTAAATTAAACATCTTGTATTAATTTAAATAGTGATATGACATCAAAAAATATATCTTGATCGGGCATGCATCTCGATGCAAAATCAAGTAGGAAACTTCCAAAATTAAAATTGGGACCATCCGATCTCCAATTTCAGCAAACCTATAGTCGAACTGAACATCTTGGAAATACGAACCCAACGACGCCAAATTGGACTCAATCCGAGCCCCAATGGGTTCGAGCCGAGGATCCCAAGCGCTATTGGAAGGTTCAAACCAAAATTTGGATTACCAAACGGTTTTCAAACATAACATGCTTATAGTCGAATCGAGCGGCTCGACGAGACAAATCCAACGAGCTCAAGATCGCAGAATTCCAACATCAATAAGACCTTCAAATGCATAACGAACAGTCCACGATCAAGGGTTTCAACATCGGCCGTCCATCCAAACCAATCCCCATTTGCCCTTGATCCTCCTCCTATTTACGGGCCATGCCACACTAGGAAATCTATAAATAGATCCATCCTCCCTCTTGAAAAGGGGGGCTCCAAGCAAGAGAGCAAGAAAGAGATCAGAGATCCCTCCTCAATCACCACCCTGAGTTCTGTCGAACCACCACCTGAGGCCTGAATTTTTGCCGGACAACCACCTGAGACCCGGACTTTTGCCAGAAAATCACGTGAGGCCCGGACTTCTGCCGGACAACCACCTGAGGCCCGGACTTTTGTCGGACCACCACGTGAGGCCCAGACTTATGTCAGACCACCACATGAGGCCCGTACTTCTGCTGAACCACCACCTGAGGCCCGGACTTCTGCCAGACCACAACCTAAGGCCCTGGACTTCTACCGGACTACCACCTGATGCCCGAACTTCTACTGGAGTACCGTCATACTACTATGGTCTTTTGGATCCCTATCTCCTGCCGAGCATGGTCCTTCCGACCTTCATCGCCTACTACAATCATTCCGATCTCTATCATCAGACAACGGTCTTTCTGACCCAGGTCTCCTGCCTACTACGATCTTTCCAATCTCTACGACTATGGTCCTGTCGACAAAAAAACATGTCTATGTTGATTATTGTAACTTTCATCATGTAATGCGCTCTATATGACGTACATTTGTGACATTAAGCCATAGCCATCTCTCAAGAAGGGCCTCATTTGTAATCAACTACAAATATTAGTGGATTTATTCAAAATGGATCATACCCCGTGGTTTTTTCCTCTTTTTAGGAGTTTTCACAGAAAAACTCTAGTGTCTCTTTAAACGTTACGCTATCTCTTTCATCTGCTTTTGTGCTGGATTTTTGTTAAACTATATATTTCTTTACCGGCATCAATATTCTAGGACTCAACAAATAGTATGATATAAAGTGACTTTTATGTAAATTAAAAAAAAAAAAAAAACATTTTAATTTTAGGTTATTGTATTTTAACTTGTGTTAATAAAAGCATATGAGGGGAATGTGTCGAAGTTTGCTTGAAATAACGGTTAGCAGGACAAGATTGCGGAGACATCGCCGAGAGGATCGTTGAAAAACGTTCAACGCTTCCCCACAGGCGTTCGGCGTCCCCACGCGTCAAAACCGACCTTGGAGGAGCTCATTTCGGCACATCAATGGCTGAAATGGCCGGAGGTGCTCCCGCCACGGAGGTGGCGGCCTCTGATCCCGATGGCTTCGACGGCGTCCGCATGACCTGGAACGCCTGGCCTCGATCCAAGATCGAGGCGAGCAAGTGCGTGATACCTGTCGCCGCATCGATCTCTCCGATCCGCTCCTTTCCTGATCTTGTTGTCCTTCCGTATTCTCCTCTCCGCTGCAAGCCTCCTTGCTCTGCCGTCCTCAACCCCTTTTGCCGCGTTGATTTTCCCTCCAGGATTTGGATCTGTCCGTTCTGCTTTTCTCGAAACCATTTCCCCCACCACTACGCAGCTATCTCCGAGAGCAACGTACCCGGCGAGCTTTACCCACAGTGTTCCACCGTCGAATACGCCATCCCTGCTCTTGTTTCAGGCGGCGATCCCTCGGCAGCGCCTTCTCTGCCGCCCCCCATCTTTCTCTTCGTCATCGATACATGCGTGATCGAGGAGGAGTTCGGTTTTGTCAAGTCTGCCATGCGCCGTGCTATTGGACTTATCCCGGAGAATGCCCTCGTTGGGCTCATCACCTATGGTACCCAGGTCCAGCTCCATGAGCTCGGATTCTCGGAGCTCTCTAAGTTGTATGTCTTTCGGGGGACTAAGGAAATCTCCAAGGAGCTGATTCTTGATCAGGTTGGGCTTTCGGCACCGGGGAGCGCACCGACTCCTGGTTTCCCAAAGGGTGGAATGTTGCAGGCGAATGGATTGCATCCTGCAGTGTCAATCAATAGGTTTTTGCTACCAGCATCAGATTGCGAGTATACCCTTAATGCTGTGAGTTTTTTAGGTTTATTTGCTTCTTATGGATTTTGTATTGTTGATTGATTATAATTTCTTGTTTTAAATTTCCTTTGTTCTTGTTCTTTAGTTGTTAGATGAGCTGCAGATAGATCAGTGGCCTGTGGAGGCTGGGAACAGAGCTCGGAGGTGCACTGGTGTTGCTCTGAGTGTTGCAGCTGGATTGCTGGGCACGTGCTTGCCTGGTACTGGGGCAAGAATTGTAGCTTTGGTCGGAGGGCCGTGCACGGAGGGCCCTGGAATGGTAAGAGCATCAATACCATCATGTCTTTTTAACAATTGATTATCTTACGTTTTAGGTTAATGAGGAATCAAACTCTTATGCTATGTTGCATAAAAAAAAAAAAAAAAACTCGCACTTGGGTCATGCTTCTGTTGATTAGTCATGATATCTGAGGAATAGTTTGTTTTAATGGCATGAACCATTAGTTTATGATTTCAAGATTTTAGGCGATATTGTTTATTTGCCAGGTAACTTTAAATTGGCATGGGACAATGTTATCTCTAAATCAATTTGGGCTTTTTGTTGAAGTCTACAGTTTAAGCATGTTGACGCATGACGGTTTAATGTTAGGTTTTGAACATGCAATTATAATGATGTGATGTGTGAATCACACAAGACAACTTAGACTTCTTAGCGAACTATAGTATTTGATAGTGAGCAATATAGTTTAATGATCAAATAAATCAAGTTTTAAAAGATATTACAGAAAAGTAGTTCGAACCACCACATAATTAATCAATTGAATACTTTTGAGAGTAATGGTTTAAAAAATCCCATGAACTACCTTTATGAATTATCCCCTACAAACAATTTCTTCTAAAAAATTCTCCAAAAAATATTTGGGTGTATTACTTATGTTCACATGCACAAACAACATCAAGACGCTTGATCTTAGAGCACTCAAATGCAACTTTATTGGATATGCTTCCACTAAAAAATAATACAAGTGTTATCATTTTACCACAAAAAATTCTTCACTTGAAAAGATGTCACATTTGATGAAAAATAAATTTTTTTAATTCAATTTCATCACAAGAGGAGAAGCACCAACTAGAAGATAAATTTGATGAAACCACTATCTTCTATTTTGACACTCCAACTACTCAAACTCCAATAATTCCAATCACTACACCCCTTCATATTTATCCAAGAAATAATAAGCCTTGTCAAAGTCTTTAGTTGGCTCATGATTTGGAATCTTCATCAGATTATAATGATCAACTCTTCGCCATACATTTTTCTTTGTATCTTATCACCAAATGCACTGGACCGGTTACTATTGCGGTGGTCCACCCTAGACCGGTCCTTGTTTACTCCTGGCTAAAGCCTAGTCCACCTCAGCCAGCGTCAACCCACTTGTGGTGAGGCCTAGGGAGTAATAGAGAGAGGAGGGGTCGGGTTAGGAGGGAAAATTCAAATTGGGAGGGCTTTTTTGGATATTTTGTTGGATATTGTATGCTTTAAGTAGTTTTGTTAAAACTAGGGATGGGGCATGTCTTGTTGAAATTTAGATTGTTATTAGGGTGATTGGGCTATAACTAGCGGCTAGGGATTTGGGAAACCCGGATCTTCATCTTCAATTGAAGATCCATTGTATCTTGTTTGTTTTGCTTCTCTATCATCAATTAAAATGGTTTTTTTCCTCCTATTATTCCCCTTAGTTCTTGTGATTTGTGTTTGGGATTGTTGAAATTAAAATTCAGCCAAGAGTTCTTGATTTCTACAAGCACTTCCTATCATACACATTCTTTCAAAAAATGTCTCCTAAATATAAAGCATTTCTTATAGACATCAGCTCCACACCCATTAAAATATCATGAAACCTATTTGAGGCACTTGAAAGCAAGTATTGGAAGGATGCCAAAAGAAAAGATGTGAATGACATGGAGAAAACCATACTCGAGAGATCATTAAACCATTAAAAGAGAAAAAATATAGGGTAAATTTTTTTATTTTTTTTTTTTTTTAAATATAAAGCTGATGGGAGCCTAGAATATCTATATGGACTAGATTAGGTATTAAGAAAAGCTAAAACAATATGTTGTTTTAAGCTCTAGTGGAGAATTTGAATCCAGAGCAATTGCACATGGTATTTATGCTCATATAGATTAAAATCATTTTAGAATGTTTAAAATTTAGATATGAAGAACCTATGCAAATAATAAATATGTCATCAGCATTGTTCACAATTTTGCACAGTTTGATCGTACCAAACATATGGAAGTTGTAGATATTTCATGGAAGAAAAGTTATAAAATGGGTTAATATTCACTTCATATGTCCCACCAGGAGGGCAGTTTGCTAACGTATTAATAAAAACATTTTGCAACCCTGTATGCAATTATATTGTGAGCAGACTTGGATTGATGGATCTCTGCCATCTAATTTGAGCGGAAGTGTTGAAAGGACTGACAAACAGATGAGGCCGATGGATGCTATGAAAGGAAAAAGAGGATCCACAAATCTATTATTTACTTGAAAACATCCCTTCCACCAACTCCTACAAAAGAAAGGAAAGGAGGCCTTGGATTTCTCCCTTGGCATTAATCGACAAGGCCAATTAAATCCAACAGAAGGCATGATCAGACAGCTTGTTAAGATTTTTTTTGCCATTGTAATTAGTTTTTTCCTTTTATTTATTGAGTAGTAATGTAATTAGCTGTTTCCTAGCCAAGCTTTCCTACTTCTTTTGTATAATGTTACTGGACTAGATTAGGTATTATTACATACAAATAATCTTGCATATATATTTAGTATGTATATGTATGTACAAGATTATTTGTACGTAACAGTTAATTATGACTGCATAATAGTTGATTTTGTGATGACACTTGTTTCTGTAATATTCAATTATTCATACGTATAGAAGCAATTTTGTCGAACCATATGTGATTTTGTATTTCTTGGTTATCATAAACATGCATATAGTTATTACCTAAGTTTATTATGCTGAAACTCAAACCATGAATACTTGAATAGTTAAATTTGATACAGTTGTCTCTATAGATGGACAATTATTGGTACTTTAAATGCCTATTTGTTGTGCCTTGCTTTGGAAGTATTAGGTGGCCAATTGAGGCATATTTATATAGCTGGCAGCGTTTCAGTTGCGCCTTTGTGACCTGCTGTAACTTTTCTGGAACCAAAGTATTATGTGCACAGGAGCTCTATTTGGTTTGATATGATAGCTCAATGTTACTTATGATGTGGTCTTGTTTTGTAGATTGTTTCCAAAGATCTATCTCAGCCAGTCCGATCACACAAAGATCTGGATAAAGATGCTGCTCCACATTTTCATAAGGCTGTTAAATTTTATGACAATCTGGCCAAGCAGCTCGTTAATCAGGGTCATGTTTTAGATCTATTTGCTTCTGCCCTTGATCAGGTTCATACTGTTTCCATTCTTAAACTACATTGCTTATACCTTTCTGGTCAAAAAGTTGATTTTCTAAAGTTTAAATTCTTTCTTGTTAAATTTATTTTTTTAGCACTTTATTAGTTTATTGTTACATATTCAACCATAATTTATACAAAAATTCTCTATTACTATAGAGAAGAGTTTTAGGAGTGAGAGTGCAAGGGCATCTTCAGAATAATCTCTTTTCTGCCGTTCTTTTAGCCTTTCACAATATTGATAAGAATACAAATCAAATTGTAGGGAGGGTTCTTTGCTTGTCTTTTTGGTTGAAAGCAGGAAGTTCCGAATGCTATTGATAAGAAATTTCTTTGTACCTGATTTTATTAATAACTTCTGAGTTTAATTCCAAAATTAACTTAGAAATTAAGTCCAAGTGTTCCAAAGTGTTTTGCCCTTCAAAACAATTTATTTTTCAGGTTGGCGTTGCGGAGATGAAAGTTGCTGTTGAAAGGACTGGTGGGCTTGTTGTCCTAGCTGAAAGCTTCGGGCACCCAGTTTTTAAAGACTCTTTTAAAAGGATCTTTGAAAGTGGTGAACAGTCTCTTGGCCTCTCTTTCAAGTGAGTTTTACTGCATCTTTGTTGGTTTTTGTTAAATTAATGCCCTAATTTTTTCTGACATTGTGACCGTTGTTCTAGTCATGATGATTTAAATGGCCATTCGTAGAGGCAGCAAAACATAAAAGTGTGAATCCATTCTAATGCAGTCTGCTGCTCTGACCTTCCTTTGCCATCATTAATTGTTTGTGGCCTATTCTTTGTGAACACCATGCCATGCACATTATCTGTTGCACGAATTTATTTCCATCCATCACACATGTATTTTAAGTGTTTTTCATATGGTTATCTTTTGGAAATCATAATCAGATATCGGGAAAAATGAAAATTGTCATCATAAATATAGACCCTTCACCAATTACCAGAACAATGACTAAAATCAGCATAATAAATCTTCTTGTTTATACTCTTTAGCTGTGGAGCTTTCTCTTTAGAAAAACTCAGAAGGAAAATCTTATAATTTGATTGATATTATAGATGTAATCTCGTCAACTTCATTTTAAACCTTGTGAAGTTAGTCTCATATATCCTGTGTGCTCTTGTGGTTTTAGCTTTGGATGCCTACCTCACCTTAATACTATTTTGTGAGCTATTGAGTATTTTCTTGTGATATCGTATTTAATAGCATATTTGTGTCACTCATTACTGCATCCATCTCAAGTGCATGTTTAAAATCTTTGTAGCATGGAATTTTACATTTGTTGCTTGAATGCCAGTTCTTTACTTCTTTGTATCCGTGATTTTTTCTGGATTCCTTAGATTTTTTTCAATACCTCAGCAGATGGACAGTCCTTCCCAACTACGCAGCTTGGCTTGGCAAGTTTGTCTGTTTACATTGTTTACCTTATGTAGTGACCTCCTATCGAGCGTTTTGTTAACTGCTGCTACCCTTAACCATCTACTTTTGCTCGAAGTCTAGTTACAGCATTACCAATCTTTAACTTGGCTCAAATCAGCTGCTGCTTTTATGCAAAGATTGGTGGGCATATTAAGATATCACTGATATATCTCATATATCATGAAGCATGGAGCCAACATGAGATACGGATACCATGACATGAGATAACTGAACTAGAAAGCAACGCACCGTTAACACAATGTGTAATTTTATAAATTATTAATATAAAATGTATAATTAAAACATCTGATTTTAGATATTAAAAGATTATACAATTAAGCATAATATTGTATACTTCGTATAGAAAGCTTAATAATAATAAAATAATAGCAAACTTGGTTTATATCATTAAATTTTAGCTTATCATCAGATGTAGTAATTGTGAATTTTCAATAATAGAACAAAATGAACATCCATTAATTATTAAATATATTGTGAATATTAGCATTATCTGTAAAATATCAAAAGCCCTAAAAAGGATTAACACTGAAGTTCTTTTCAGAACAATTAAACAAAACATAAGTTTAATTACGATGCATCCTTAATTGGAGCTAACACACTCAGTATTATGATCACATCACACAAAACACTTGCACTCTTCAAAAGCTCTTCACCTTCATCAGAAAAAAAAAGTTTTCAAAGTTGGCTCATCAAATGAGTGATTAGCAATTTTAAGTATTTCAATATCATCTATTGTAGTTAATTTATTCCCACCAATATCCCATAACTAATTCTTTCTTTTAGTAAATTCCACTCTCTTAAATAGAAACCTAAGTTTGGTGCGTACAAATATCCAATCTTTATCCTGTTGAGGAGTTATCTTGTTTCTTTTGAGTGAATTGATGAAATAATATACACTAATTTCTTTCAGAATAAGATGAGGAACATGGTTGTGCTAAAACATTAATAGTTAAACTTTGTAGTCACGGGAAATTAGCACCCTATATCATTTAATAAGCATCCATGGTGTACCTTGAAGTTATTAAGTCATGCTCAACAAAAGCAATACTAAGATCAAAGTAGTAAGTTTCAAATTATCATTGCCCTTTCCTCAATATTTGTAAAAAGCCTTTTTAGGCATTTGTTCCTCCATTTTAATATATTCATATCTTTATTTGGACCAACTTGATTTGGAGCTTTACTTTGTCCAGCATGATTATAATCCCTAAAAAGGAACGCAATAATTGAAACTTCAATCATTAATAACCAACAAGTAATACTTTGAGATTAAGTAATGATTACCTTGGATTACGGAGTATTTTAGCATTGAAAGGGAGTGCTACTTTAGTTTCTTCTTTGCACAAGATTGTTATATGCCACCTTATAAAAGTTGGACTTTTAATTATTCTCCTTTTTTTAATATTGATTATTATCCCTTTAACCTTTTCAATCGTAGTATCCCACACATGCCATGCATAAGGATGTGACAAAGCTTGTCAATATCAGCTACTCTTAATATCTCATATGCTGGCTTTGTATATGAAATGATATAATCTATTTTATCCCACCATAAAACGTTCAATATATCCTTTTTTGAAATTTGCCTTTATTCATATCATCTTCTCGATGCATTCTCCACTTGTCATTTGTTTTCATTTTTTGTTTTATAGTTTTGAATCTCCTAAGCATTATGATTGTCAATACAAAATAAATTTTTGCCATAGCTAACTTTTATAACTTAACACATTCATTAACAATTAAAAGCCTCATTTAACTTTTATTACTAAGACCAAAGTAGTTAGTATGTTTCAAATTATCATTGCCCTTTCTTCAATATTTGTAAAAAGCCTTTTCAGACATTTGTTCCTCCATTTTAATATATTCATATCTTTATGTGGAGCAACTTGATTTGGAGCTTTACTTTGTCCAGCATGATTATAATCCCTAAACAAGGAATGCTATAATTGAAACTTCAGTCATTAATAACCAACAAGTAATACTTTGAGATTAACTAATGATTACCTTGGATTATGGAGTGGTTAAGCATTGAAGGGGAGTGCTACTTTAGTTTCTTCTTTGCACAAGATTGTTATACACCTTATAAAAGTTGGACTTTTAATTATCCGCCTTTCCTTAATATTGATTATTATTCCTTTACCTTTTCAATCATAGTATCCCACACAAGCCATGCATAAGGATGTGACAAAGCTGTCAATATCAGCTACTCTTAATATCTCATATTCTGCCTTTGCATATGAAATGATATAATCTATTTTATCCCACCATAAATCACTCGATATCTCCTTTTTTGAAATTTGCCTTTATTCATATCACCTTTTCGATGCATTCTCTACTTGTCATTTGTTTTCATTTTTTGCATTTTTTTGTTTTATAGTTTTGAATCTCTAGGCATAATGATTGTCAACACAAAATAAGTTTTTTTCATAGCTAACTTTTATGACTTCACAAATTCATTAACAATTAAAAGCCTCATTTAACGTCATGATGAAAATCTTCATAAAGTTTGCATCCCATGTGATGTTTATGGTCAAACTACTTTCTTCATAAGTCATCTTATGACCCTCTAGGCTTCTATATTCTTTTGAGCACAACTATTCATTAATGTAATATTCAATTTATAAACAAGTCAAGGAACCCAAAAAACAATGAGTGCAGTGGGGTCTCAATTAGTGTTTCTGCCATTTCTCACATCGTTGCATTATCAATGATTACACGACCTATTTGGATGAGGACATCGGACCATGAAGAGTTTACGACCGTGATTGAGTTGTTATATTTCTAGTTTTTGTTGTTTGTATGAGACTTATTTATGTTATTAGTTTGTTTCCTGTTTTTCCCTCTACTTATGTGATGTGTCATGGGCATTGTTGTCTTTTGGTTATTCCCTTTTGTTTGGCCTATATATATGGCTCCATCCCCTCATGCAATGTTTTGATGTTTATGTTATAAAATTTTGATTTTGTGTGATCTTGTTCTCTTGGAGAATTGAGAGTGTGAGCATGAGAAGTCCTTCGAGAAGGCAAAGCATCACCCAACAGCCTTTGCGCTCTTGGTTTTTATCTAGCCGAACGCCCAACCCCCATCTCCTGCACCAGCTAAGCGTCTCCCACCTCCACTGGCTGCCTCTACAGTCCAAAAGATTCTGCCTCACCACCAACAATAAATGGCCCTTCATCTTCTCTTGTGACCCTTAATATTCCAACATTAAATGCACTTGAACCCTTGATATTCCCAAGCATAATTAATGTGGAAATCAAATCGAATTTTCATTTAATTTGTAGGATTTCCAAACCACCTTTCCATCTTCCCAAGCAACCCTCATTAAGTTTCAACTTTTTCCCTTCCAAAGCCAAACATTAATTCCCCACTTACCCACATAATTAGTTACAATTCAAGGCTTGTAATTAATTGTTGTAATTAATTGGTCAAACTTCTCTTAATTACTTTTCCCTAATCCCTAGCGTACGTACTCCTCTTCCCATGTGCTGCCATTAATTCCTAAGCAATCTTTTCATCTTCCCAAGCAACCCTCATTAATTTTCAACTTCTCCCCTTTCAAAGCCAAACACTAATTCCCCACTTACCCATGCACAATTAATTACAATTCAAAGCTTGTAATTAGTTGGTCAAACTTCCCTTAATTACTTTTCCTTAATTCCTAGCCTATCAACTCCTCTTCACATGCGCTGCCATTAATTCCCAATCAATTCTCTAAGCTCCACTTAATGTCACATTAACTACCTTCCCCTTTCCCAAGCTATCCGACCCCTTATCCTAGGGCTGCAAGCGAACCAAGCGTTTGACGAGCTACTTGATGCTCGGTTCGATTAAAGCTCGTTTGTGATCGTTTAATTAACTAAACAAACAAACTTGAACAACATTTTAAATACTCTATCCTTAAATAAACAAGCTTGAACACAAATGTGTTCGGTTCATTTATGTTCACGAACAACATCATTTGAAGTTCGTGAACAAGCTCGACATTAAGCTCGATAAAAGCTCGAATGGAGAGGAATGCAACAGGTAAGCTTCATTTAAGAATATATTCATATAGATTAATCATATTTTCATTTTAAATAGATAATTGTTTTTATTATAAATTTAATTTTCTGAACAAAAGACATTTCACATTTGTCCATGTTTG